CGCTTACATTTGGTGTGCTTTCACACTTATTGGACATCCCATAGGCTAAACCTATGTCATGGAGCGTGATGAGGAGGGATCAACATGGCACCTTTGGTTTGGTTTTCTCGTGGCAGAGGATGCAGGCAGTCTCTTCATGTCTCTACGAGAACCTGAAAAGGAAAGGAGACTTGCAGCAACGAGCCTAGGCGCTGAACAACCGGAAGGAAATCCAAAGCGTGCACACCATGCCGGGCCCGGCGCTCCGCGGCTGCGGCTCCGCCGACGACGGCCTGCCCACATGTCCCGGCAGAAGACCGGTCAGCGGTCTGGAATCTGAGATCCTTGCTTCTGCTTCTGCCGCGCCGCTCCTATGCTGCGACGGTGTCAGGAATTTTCCAGCACGACATAGCAAGACCCTTGATGCGAGCCTGTCGATCGCCGCCTGCGACATACAACAGTCATCTCATTCCAGACTAAGCACAAAACAATGCAACTGTGCGTTGCCTCCCTCGCCATGTGTGCGATCACGGTCACCGCGATCACGGTCCCGGTCGCCGCGCTCACCGCGCTCCTTCTCCCGGTCTCGGTCGCCACGATCTCGATTGCGGTCGCGGTCGCCACGGTCGCCGCGGTCACCGCGGTCTCCGCGGTCGCCACGATCGCGATCGCGGTCACGATCGCTAGGACGGTCACGCTCGCCGTTTCGACCACGCTCACGGTCTGGCCTCCCGCTGGCTTTTGCAAAGGCTACTGATTTGATTTCGGAGCAACAAGGAAGGCGAGGGCGGGGCTCATTTTTCGCCGCTGTGCAGACTGGCTCTTCAGTGCATGTAGCGTGCCAGCTATCAGCAATTGCTTCATCAAAAGAAAAGCAGGAAGAGTCAGGAAGCCGCCAAGAGAGTCCAGAATGTGTCGTCGACGTCGTGCGTAGCTTGCGCATGGCCGCCCCTGCCAAAGGACAGACAAATCCTGCGAAAGAGCCTCGGAATCTAGTTGCTCTACAGCCCTTGCCCTGCGACGGCACCTCAAACTCTCGAGATGCTCCGCATGTCGGTTAGCAGCTTGCTTCTCGAAAGGCCTCTGCCCGGGAAAACATGTGCCAGAAGGGAGCTCAGCTTGCCAGTCAATTGCCAAGGGGCGAGGCACGGGGCCCATCGTAGACATAGATCTTCTCTGCTGCATCCAGGACGAAACTGTCGGAGTCGTTGACCATATCCTGCCAGACTTCGTGCAACTTTACCATCAAATCGCGCTCATGGTGCAGGCTGTATCTGCCTTACCTTCTGCTGTCCAAGTTGCCTTTCTGACCGGAACTTGCAGGACCGAAGTTTTACCCTTCACCTTCCTGACCTGGTACAGTTTTGTGTCATGCCCCTCAGGCACGACATGCTTGAAGCCACTATCGACTCCGCCATCCAGATATTTCAGATCGGGGAAGAGAGCAGAGAAGGCTGGCGATTCCTTGCCCATCTCCTCGCGCACCTGCTTGGGCTCACCATCGAGGAAGTCATCAAGTTCAACTGTTTTGTATGCTGCCGTGCCCTTCTCATCACTGGAACTCTCAGCTCCTATGTAGAAAAAGATCGTGTGCAACAGCTTGCCGTCTGCTGCTTGCTCCGAGTGCAGCACAATGTATGAGTCTCCCTTGTGGAACTGCCCATGAAGCGCGGATTCCACGGGGACCACGTGAAAGTGCTCAATGCGCCAGACTTGAATGCCAGGCTTCGTGCCCAGCCCTTCCCAAGCAGGCTCCATCATCGCAGCCGTCTTTCTTGTAGCCTTGTCCTCGTCGCTGCCAACTGCGGCTACATTGCTGTCTCGCCAGTCGTCTGCCGCCATCGCTGGCCAGTTTGTCACAGGGACTATAGCACAAATTTACGGCTGCAAACCCGAAAGAGCGGGCAGTCTGTGGCATCTGTGGATCTGTGTCAAGCTTTTCGAGCAAGTGCAACCCACAGGATAAGATGACCGCTGGCACCTGTCACCCTTGTCCCCTTTCTCACCTTACATGGCGGTGATTTCTCGCAAACTGCCCAGAACAGCAACAGCATGAGGAGCAAACGATCGCGGGGAGGCCCTTCGCCAATGTTTGCCTGGCACGATTCTTTAGCACGCCGCGTAGCATGTACAGACATGCAGCAAGAGCATGGGCCTCTCCCCGTCCCACGCGCCGTCCATCACGGTCGTAGTTCCCGAGGTACGGCCCTGGGCATGTTCGCAGGGAATCAGAGGTGCAAAAAAAAGAATCTCATACCCAATCCACACCCAACACCTACCATCCAGGTCCGTGGCGATCACGGTAGCCCTTTGTGCCGTAAGGGACCTGGCAGGACTGCCTGCTATTGAGAGCAAACTTCCACGCCCAATCCCGTTGTACACGTCGTTCCGCATTTTGAAGATGCGAGTTCGGGGTGAGTCTCTGACCATGTTCCGTGATTCTTCACGCTTATTTCATAAGATTTCATAAGTCGCACGATACCGAATTAGCCTGGCAAACTGCTGAAAGACGTTGACCCCTGCACACCATATCCATATCACACCGACCGAGCAACATAACTGTCGAACCTCTCCCAGCGGTACATCTTTCCGGAGATCTGCTAACCTGTCGCAACTAGCGATGTCCAGCATGCCAACGGATGCCGAAACTCCACGATGGCCAGAGCTTTCATGAGTGCAATATGCGCTCGAGCTGTGCTTCTCTGTGGGGCCATAATCACAAGGGGCCGACTTCAGCATCACGAGGGCTGATGGATTGTTGGAAGCCTTAGGCACTCAAGCATTCATAACTCTGACTTCAGCCTTCAGCGACAGGCGAGATGGCAACTGACACTGCACAGTCGAATGGGTGACAGCGCCGTGCATGCCATGCTCTCTCGTCGGAGTCTACCGCTGCCGACTTTTCCGCAGGCGTGCCAAGCTCCAAGCTGCCAAGTGAGTGTCCAGGGCTTTAAGGACGTCCTTCCTCGGCAGTAGAGACAGCAGCGGACCATTGAGGCCGACAGGCTGGGGTGCCCGACTTGTTCGGCTTTGTGGACAAGACCTGGAAGACTGCAGAAGACACTGCCGTGCAAAGGCTGGGGAGCAGTGGAATATGAGGGAATGAGAAAATTCACTTTCCTTCCCCAGGCCTTGGGCGGCATTTTAACATCTCCTTGCTAAGTCTGGGAAGTCTGCTAAGTTTCACGAAGCCCTGCCTCACTGAGCTTGTATGCAGCACGCTCGTCGAGCTTGAACTTCTCGGCCAACGACTGCACTCCGGCCTCAGCATCGCGACTAGTGCGGCTGAGGCCACGACCCGTCAGGTCGTCAAAATATATCCCCAGAAGCTCGCTCCCTAAGAAGAAAATGCTCCGAAACCTCGCGTCTCTTCCTTCATCTTACCTGTTTTGGAGTGACCTGCCTGTGGAATCCGATTTCTCTTGCAGCTTAGCCATACCAACTGCGCTGCCTTGGCCCCTGCCCTCCAAATACGACTTCAAAACAAACATTGGAAGACGCGTAATAACGGGTCCTTTGTCTTTGCTCCTTGCCACGTCTGCCCCCATCGCCAGCTTGGCGCAAAAAGAGCAAAGGCACAAAAGGTCGATTTGCCGAGACTAACCCCGGTGTGCGCATGGTGTGTTGTTCTTGATCTCATGAAAAGCTCTTTCGGGTGACGGTCCCCGAGAACATGAACATTTGAAATTTGCTCGCTTGCTAGGGGTCTTTCTCCCCCAGTCTCTGCAACAAGCTCCGATGCATCTACAATGTCTTCAAGATCTACTGGCACATCGGCCATGGAAACCGTTGTCCTGGTCAGAGGGTGGCGCGTCGTCGCCAACATGTTAGGCGAAAGAGATGTGCCTCTCGAGAGGCAACTGGATGGTGTAAGAGGACGCTTCTTTGCACTGGCCTCACTGGCGTAACTTGCCTGCATCTGCCAAATCCCCGGCCATGCGATGCTCAAGCTGCAGTACAGTCCAGCTGCCATTCTTGATGTGCAACTAGACCGAGCACCACTAGCCATCGGTGGAAGGCTCAATGTAGCAAACAATGACCACAGCTGTCACAGCCACCGAGAAAGCCCAAGCACAAAGTTGAAACATACCGTTCCTGCAAGCCTTCCTTGCCTTCTGACAGCGGGAAATCGAGGACTCTTGCGGTAGCAAACTTGTCGTGTAAGAGCCTTGTAATCCAGTGCTCTGCACATGTGGCCTGGCTAGATTTTATCATGCTGTGCACGAGCCCTCGAGAACACATCTAAAAACTGGTTGGGCCTGTGCTTTTGCCACCTGCGCTGGCTCTGTTGCGCAAAGCCTACCGGTGGTTCATGGTCGCCAGAACTGTATCTGCCAAGCCATCCCGAGCCAAGAATTCGCGGTGATCCACCGCCCCAGAATTATCCGTGTCGAAAACTGCCCATACTGCACCTAGGCTTTCACGTAACTGCGAGATTCCTCCTACATCGATCTGGAAAGTCTTTCCAAAAGCCCGCACGACTTCTTCAAACTCCAGCTCGCCACTCTCGTCTTCGTCCCAATACCTGCGAAGACACAGCGGGAAATAGCAAGCTCAGGATGTCTGCCAAACCCCCACCTAGCAGCTCCAGAAACGGCCCTACCCAGCCCCGTCTCCTGTACCAACTGTCACGATCTCTGCGCAAATCCGGGATTGGGGCTTCCGAGGCGACCTTGCCAAAGGAATCACGAACGAATTTAAGGATACCCTTGTCGTCATTCATGATCTCGATATACTCAATGAAGCCGCTCCTGAGAACATATCTGCCCGCATTGCCCGTCAAGCCGAGTCGTCCGAGTTGCAACTACGAAGCTTGATAACACTTGCACCGGGCAGAGTACTCACAGACAGGGCACTGGTCAGCATCCCACAACCGCCAAGCCGCATCATCTGTCCGGAATTTGTCGATCGCCCGGTTATCTAGAGGCAGTTGCGCCTTCAGCGCAGAGACGACCTCGTCACGACTCAGCTTGCGATCGCCATCAGCATCACACAGACGGAACCAAGCTTTGGGGTCCTGAACAACTCGGCACATGGAGGCATGTGCCGCCAAGATGTTTAGGCTCAAGATGAAAAATCCAGAAGAGGATTGTCCTCTGTGATGCTTGGTACCTCTTGTGCTTTGGCAACCGGCAAGTTTGTCACCGGACATCTCGCACCATCGCCGTGGATTTTCAGGAAGGCGTTTGCAGCGTCCAAGCTGTAGAATTGCTGACCAACCCGCTTTCCGGCAGTATCCAGGAAGACAGCCTCAAGATGCGTGGGAAGGCGAATCAATGGATTATGACACTTGGAAATTCTGCAATCTAAACGAAAAACAATTATTGCCCCGACGTCCCGAGCGCTACTCGGGAGCATCTGCCGGCTGAGGCACCACAGGACCTTTGTACAGCGGCGTGAAGGAGAGGGGACATTCCGCATGGCGCTCCGCAACGGGCAGTCGGGCCGCAGCAAACATGGCGCATAGAGATGCACACAGATAGAGTGCGAACTTGTCGAGATCCTCGTCGAGGAAACAACGCACAGCCAAACCCTCCAAACACATGTGTAAAAAGCTAGCTAGTGTGCTCTTCCACCATGAAGCAATGCTTCATGCGGCTTCCCCACGGACAGCTGGCCGAAGAGCCGTTATGAGGGACGCCCCAAGTCTATGCACAGCAAAGGTTCGGCCAGTGCACAAGACCCCAGGCGCCGGGCATCCTTTTGCTCGCCGGCACGAAAAGTGCCTTCCAGCATCTCCTTCACCTGTGCTGCACGCACGAGACCCAGTAAGAGCTTTGCACTGTAAGGACCTTGATCATCGTGAGGCCGGGTGGATTCCTGGCTTCATCCAGGATCTCCCACATAACCTGACCCGCAGTCACACTTGCAACAACTTCATTGAAGTTGCAAAGACCGTGGCAACACGGACGTGCGGCGAGAGAATCTCGGTAACAATTACAGATCTAGCCACCTGCAAGTCCGTCCCAGGATCTGGGCGAGTATTGAGAGCCTCCCGACGAAGAGCAGCAAGAGCCAGTGGAATTAGCAACAGCCCATGCCCTGCACGAAGCCATGGGGGTGAGACCTCTTGCAGCTTGCCGGTGATTCGCTCATCCAGACCAAAGTGATCAGCGATGTCCTGTCAGGGACGGCACGTATGCCGTGGCCAGTGAAAGAGCTTACTGAGCAGAGCACCTGCACCTCGGGCTCGATCTTCACCAAACGCCAGGAATCCTTCAACACGTCCACATGCGACAGCAGTAGCCAAAACTGCGAGCAATGCCTGCGTGATGATGTGCTTGGACTCTGCGGCTTCTTGTGCGGGAGCACAGGCCTGAGCAGGTCATGGAGCTACGGAGCACAGGCCCGAGCAGGTCATGGAGCTACCGAGCCCTTCCCACAACTTCCCGAATACTTGGGAATGTTCGCTGCCCAGGTTGACCAGGAGAGGCCTGAGCTTTCAGCATGGGAGTCGTCACTGATAGTGCTGCGTCTGCTTGGCTGCCGGCATCACTGTCACCAAGTACGGGTTCCCTGGCCTAGTATGATGTAAGGAAGGATGTTCGACTGGAAGTGTCATTGAGCTGGCCCCACATGCGACAGCTGCTGCAAAAAGGGGCTGACGCAAATTGGTGAAATTTCGCAGGTGCACCACCTCAACGGAGCTCGTCTAACACCACTCATGGTCCCTCAGGCACTTGGTTGGACAGGCCTTGGCCAACCGGAGGACCATTTTGGGAGTTCGCCTTCGAATGCGTCAACCGGACAGTTCACGCCAGCATGCTCAAACATCGGCAAGGCCGCCGGAGTGCATTTTCTGATCCGCGCAACTGCTGCTGTCAGGAGCTTGATGTCTCGTTGCACTGTGCCGGGACAAGAACTACGCCCCACATCAGCAACCGTGCTCGGTCAAGGAGCTGCCTGCCGCTATCACTGTGCTGACGATCGAGTCGTTCTACGCTTGAGCTCGCCTGTACTTAAGTACCTTCGGGTGGTTGCGAATCATGGCGGCAATTTCCGTCTGCCTCGCTTCTTCTGCCATTTTCTCGGCATCCTTAAAGGCTTTGGTGTAGGCCAAAACCGAGGTGAAGCGTGGATGGTCCAACAACATCTTTGCCACGTCCTTGCGGCCAGACCTTGCAGCAGCATGCAGCGCCGTTTGGCCGTACCTTTCTCTCCAGTCCTGGCGCCACTGATCCGCCACAACCACTTCGTTCACAGCGGTGAAGTGCTCGCAATCAAGCAGCGCGAGAACAACAGCCAAATGCCCATTTTGAGCTGCAACGTGGAGCGCGGTACCATCCTTCACGCTGTGTGCGTTCTGGTGTGTGACTTGCGGACATGCCAGGAGCTCCAGGCAGACATCTACCAACCCACGGCTTGCTGCTAAGTGCAAGGCAGTGTACCCACTGCCGTCGCTGCACGTGTCATTCACCCCGTCAAAATCTTCCTCCAGAAGGGTGAAGCGGATCAAATCCAGCTTCCCAGTGATCACCGCAGCGTGCAAGACATTGAGCCCACGGACTTTGCTAGCGGACGTAGACCTCTCATTTAGACCTCTGAAATTGAACTCATGCTGTCGAAGCGCCTTGAGCAAGTTCGGGACGCTGGGTGTGATTAAAGCAAACACTTCGCTGTCGGCTAGGGACTGTACATCAATGCGCTCCTCAAGGACATCCTCACCGCGAAGAAGCCGCACAAACTCTGGACATGTCTGGGCAGACTGCGCGATGATCTGCCTCAAATCTGCCAGTGTTCCAACAGCAGGAATTTCCGTTACCTCGCCGGACATCATGCGAACGGTCACCTTCTCGCACATCGGCCCAGCCATTGCGGGAAACAAGTGGCTGCTCACACCCCTCGGATCGGAGAAAATCCATCCACGGGCAACGCTGCTGCAGGACCTACAACATTCACTTGCTCGCCGCCGGATCTGTGGACTTTTTCCTTCTCGAGCAACAATAGCAACACATTAAACTGCAGGTCGCCCGAAGAAGCATTACTGCTGGCGTCGACGCGCGGCACATCGAGCGATCTGCCTTCTCTTTCTCTGGGGTTGGCAGCGCGAGTTGGCGAAGGTGTAAGAAACGACGGAACCCAAACATACAGAAAGCCTGTTCCGGAAACCGGCCCGATCATTTACGACAACCATGGTCTAACCCGACCGAAACCTGTCGGAGCAGTAGCTGCGTCGGTCGGCTTGCCTCAACCAAAAGTCGTCCCGCGACCATGCTGTTACGACGCGCATACTGTAAGTATGAAACAGTTGTGCCCAGCCATTGCAGCCAGATGAGGAGCCGGAGGTTGTCAAGCTTGGAGCGGTCGTGCTTGCCCAGAATGAAGTCGTTTCAGGTGCTTTTGAGCTGATTGCCGTTCTGAGTTCTCAAGTTCAGCTTGCATTCAGCTTGGGGCCAGGACTGTCGTGTGTGGCGTGAGTCATCGATCAGTCAGCAGTCAGGAAAGCAGACCTGAAATCCTTGTCATGTGGAGTGGGATGTGACTCCGATGGGTGCGACGCTGGCAGAAGAAGTCGCTGGCCATGGAGCTTGGAAATCGTTCCGGAAAACTATGCGATTCAACAGCGGAGACAACCGCATCCGGGATTGACCGCCGGCAACCTGGGATGGCACGAGGTTCAGCTGACTTGTTAAGCGGAGATGGAGCAGAATGGAGAGGAATTGTATGTTGCAAGTCCAGAAAGCACTCAAGACGTTGGCACTCTGCGGGACGCAAAGGCCTGTCTACATCCTGAACCTCTGTGACAGGAGCCCCGAGCAACACATGGGAGGCTCGCCTGCGTGGTGGGCGGGGTCCGCATGACATTGAATTTGTAGCTTGGTGGACACCGGCCAGTTTCTGTTGCAGTGGCGCGTGTTTCCGTTGCCAGAACCCTCGCTTCAACGAGAAGCCGGATTCCTCGGACTCACACAAGTCCCTGTCATATCAAGTCGTATCGCCCTGGTTACTGTTGCGGCGTTTTCCAGTCGACTGAACATACAGTAACTCCGTTTGAAACCCCGCCCGGGCTTCGGTGCAAAGCGCGCGACGAACAAAGGTCGACACCATGCCGTGGGGTGCAAGACTTCGAAGGAGAACCTGACTTGCAGCGAACGAGTGAACGTCCGCACCGTGAGGCTGCAGACTTGCTTCGAACATGCTAGTTGCATGGTGAAGCTTCGCCTTGGCTTGGATGCTATAGCATGTCCGCGTTTCACCAGAATTCCACGTTTCTGAGGGGCCTAACCCTGCGGGTGTTAACGGGTCACAGGGTTTCTGGTACTTTTGAGGTGCAGGGTTTGTACGGCTTTGAAATGGTTTCGGAGCTTTCGGGTTTCAGGCAGCCTGAGTGTTCGGGATTCGGCTTGGGTCGTGGGGATTACGGTTCAGGATTTAAGAGCTGGGGCTTCCAGGCTTCGGGTCCTCATTCATCTTGATCTTCATACGCTGTGGGAAATGCATAGTTGCATTATATGTAGAATAGTGATTTGTCGGATGGATTTCGTTGGACAGCGCGATTTGTCGTGCGTTCAGGCTAGGGGTTTCAAGATCTCGACGCAGGCAGCGGCACTGGCCTCTTGCAGGAGGCCCCCCAGGCCGTCGAGAGCTCGCTTCCTGGGCGAAGGAGATCGGCGGGGCTCGGGCTCGGGGATTGCAAAGAATCTCCACACCCCCTCTGCAACAGCTCTATACATGAGAAGCACTCGTAGACTCTTTTTCCCCGCATCGGACGGGGACGATTGGATCCCTTCCTTAGCTCTCGGAACATGAGCCCCGGAGAGACGGACAGCGGCATCAACTGTTTCAACAGATGATCAAGCAAGACTCCGCTTCTCCTTCCTCGGGAATTGAGAAAGCAATCAGATCCGTCAGCTCACCGCCTCAGGTTAAGCCAATTTGCGAAGATTTGAAGTCTGGTCACGATGCTGTCTCAGACTCAAGCTCGGGTCCAGACGTGCAAGTGCCACGGCCAGAGAAGCCAGCAGCACGCAGGGGCAAATGTACAGAAGAGCTGGTTGAGCATGCTGGAAGATCATCATCACCGTCTCGGTTTTTCGGACTCCATGACTGAACATGTAAGAAGTGCTGGGCAGTAGCTCGGTAGCTGAATGCTGGGTCCCCAACGACTGTCAAGATCAAACTCAACATGTACGCGAGAAGGCAGAAGTTCAGATACACAAAGCTTTTGCTCGAACCAGCTGCTATGTTGACCTGAGCATTGAGCATTTCGAGCACGCCGCAAGCAGGCTTGTGAAACCATTCTGCCGCAACACCGCATCCCATTTCGCAAGGAAAGACACGAACAAACCTCCAAGGAAGAAAATCGCAAACTGGTGCATCGGACTCTGCAGGCATCTCTGTGGCTTAGAACTTGACTGCAGCAAACCTGGAACTGCAATGTCACCAAGGCCCAGCATGTTAAACCTGCGGAGGAGTCACGAGAAGTGCAAGATCACTAGGCTCGAGGGCGCCAGTCTGAAGACAAGGTGTCTGCCAAAGGACTGCAGATCTCCGCACCCACCGAAGTCTCGCGGAAGTAATAGTTTAATTGGAGCCTGCAAGAAGTCAGCACGCAAAAGGCAAGCCTTTCTTCCGGCGAGTCTCTCCAACCAGCCTCCACTCCCTTCGCCACCGACACCATGACGTTTGCTCCAAAAACCGGCTTGCTGAAGAAAACCCAGAACCTGCCGGCAGTGACTCTGCCTTCCTGGCTTTGTCGGCCACCTGTCGATCCCATTAGCCATCTATGATGAGTCCAGTTGCACGTCGTACACGAACAAACCGCTCAGCAGCACCACCCCAGCACCGTAGCTGGACAGGTTGATGGACCTCTCCCCATTCGTGTGACGAGATCTTAGAGTAAGCAAGTTGCACGGGCCCATGCCGGTGCCTGATTCCAAGCAGGCAGAAAGAGAACCCGAGGATGTTATTTACGATCCAATGGCCGGTTGAAACCTGGGCCGGTCAAGCAAACCATGTGATCCATAAGACATACAAATTCAATCCAGTCGCATAAGCCACTGCGAGCGCGGCCGCTGCAGGCATGCCAAAGATGTTTGCCAGGGAGATCTGTCCGAGATAAGCTTGAACAGGCCCATTGACAGGCTGACTCTGCCTCCAACTGAGCAAAGGAGACCACGCAACCTGGCGAAACACACCAAGCTGTCAGCAGTCATGGCCCTTGCTCGCGAACTGCAGCTCAGAGGCCACGTTTATTTCGGACCAGGTGGGCGACAGTGTCGATATTCGATGCCACACCGAACGCAGAAATCCAAACCATGGCCGTTGTGATTGCATGCTTTAGCCAATCATGACCTGAACACGAAATCGATAGTTGCACTTCTAGCCTCCTCGGAAGATTCTGGCCACTGTTCAGCCAGGCCACCTAAGAACTTGATAACTACGAAAAGGCCGAATAGGGCTCCTGTCAACCGCAATGCCAAATAAATACGCATGCAACGAAGGTACCTGACTGCCCGACTGCCTGGCTGTGATTTCAGTCCTGAACCCAGAACTGGAAGCCAGTATGCATCCTGGCATGCTGACACATCGCTTACAGGGTGTGGCGCTTTTTTTGCTGGCCTTCTTTTACCCCGCTGCCCCATCAACCCTGCCCCTACCGCCCCGGCCCTGCTCCCGGTGTCTGCGTACCCTGCTGGCCGTACCCTGCCTCCCGTTGCCACTGCCCTGGCCCTGGCCAACTGCTGGACTTTGCCTCTAAGCTTGCCGTCGGAAGTAAGAAAGAGAATGCTAGAAATACATGTAAAAACAATAGTAATCGTAGTAGCAGTCGTCGTCGTAGTAGTAGTAGTAGTAGTAGTAGTGGTAGTGGTAGTGGTGGTAATAGTACTGGTAATAGTACTAGTACTACTAGTAGTACTAGTAGTACTGTAGTACTAGTAGTAGTAGCAGCAGTGGTAGTAGTAGTAGTAGTAGTAGTAGTAGCAGTAGTAGTAGTAGTAGTAGTAGTGGTGGTGGTGGTGGTGGTTGTAGTAGCACGAGTAGCAGTAGTCGTAGTAGTATCAATATTAGTCTTAGTATCAGTATTAGTAGTAGTAGTAGAAGTATAAGTAGAAGTAGAAGTAGAAGTAGTAGTAGTCGTCGTCGTCCTCGTAGCA